TTCCTTGAAGTGTTTTCCTGTAATCATATGTGGGAATGACCTAATGAGACATGGGGAAGAGCCACAGTGAGGAGAATGATATGATAGGTCATTTGTCCACAGCAGGAATGTAGCAAGGGACCCTGCCTAGTTTCTTGGGCTGCAAATTTGGGACAAATGTACTGTTAGTGTAATCTTACCATAAAGTAGAATTCATTTATCTCAGTGTATTTCTTGTCTAAACTACTATGCAAAATTGAAATGTCTAGAAAAAATCAATCTTTACAAACATATAATCTTTGCTAATATTCTCTTCTATTAGTACCCTGCCCAGCCTATGGTCCCACCATGAGCAGTATTATGCACTTCATGTAGTGAAGGACACAGTTGTCAAATAATTGTGCCAGACGCCCTGGCACCATGAAAACCTATTAGAAACAGCAAAATAGAAGCCTATGGCACCCAAATGAAAAGCTAAATGTTTTCTTATTTTTAAATATTTGGATTTTAAAATCAAGGTGGACATGGGAATATTTCAATAAATTATTCTGGCTTGACTGGATTATTGTTTTCTCATGTGATTATTATACCTTCTATTTTCATCCCATTCTACCAAAAAATGCAAATTTGTGTGTTTTAGAATTTTCTCAATTGAATGTCTGATCTCAGATTGGTTCAAATAAACAGATTTCCCTCAAATTTCAAGTCACAGAATAAGCTGAAATGAAATTTGAATTTCCCATTCAAATTGAATCAAGATTTATTTGCAGAAATCTAATGGATTCTAATCAGTTTGACAGTCTCAAAGGGGCAGTCTTTGAGAGAGAAAATATTTATGTGAATATGGCTATAATCATGAACTGCGTGAAATCAGTCAGATTCAAATATATTATAGCTGAAATATATATTTCTCACATGATTATGTAAAAGTATAAAAATGGGAGAATACTGTATGTATATGGAATATATTTATGTGAAATATATGAAATATATACCAAATGAAGTAAGCTACTTATTTTATAGGACAATGTTTCTCCATCAAATGCAATCTAACCTATAGGCCTCATCTATTTTTGAATGTACTCAGTAACAAATTTTACTCAGTACTAAAATATTTTTAAAGATAAAGTACGAAATTACCAGATGATTATATTTGAGATGAATATATGTACAGTTCCTCCCCACCCCCATACACATACTCAATGATGTACTGTAATTTAAACTTCATAGTCAATTACTTGAAATATCAGCTATAGCTGCCTGAACAATGGGAATTAAACACTTTAGTCATTGTCATTTTAACAACTTTTCATTACATGTCCATTAATTATTATTCCCCAATAGGCTCATGGCTCATTTATTGCACAGGATTTCAAGACATGAAAAAAGCACATATATATTAACTATCTATGATATATGCAGAGCAGCTTCAAAAAAAGGATTTTAATCAAGTTTACAATTTGTAAATCTGAGTGACACTTTGAAAGTGGAAAGCAAAATAAAGTACAAAATAAACCTACTAGCTCAATAATTTTAATAAATACAATTCAAGTTATGTGTTACCTACAATACAATATTTCTAATATAGTAATATTATTTAGTATATACCTTTAGCTGAAAGTGGCCACTGTTATACTGATAGGAAATAGCTGATTCACAGGCATCTATGTGTCTGTGACATCAGGAAAAATGTAAACTTTCTTAAGAAAAAAAAATTCAATATTCCTTTGACAAGTATTGTATTTTGAACTACTCTGAAAGTTCTGTGTACTTTTTAAAAAAGCCTTCATTCCAGTAAAAATTAAACTTATTGTACTCCTGTCCAACAATTAAATTACAATACTGTTGTTCCCAGAAGTTTTGTACTTGCATCAAAATTATCTAATCAGCTTTTGAATACTAGTCTTACAGATTTGTAAAACTAGTATTCAAAAATTCTGAGTAATTCAGATAAATAATCTGAATTATGGACAATAATAATTTATTAATCTAATTTATGGACAGTGTTTCAATTATGAGCTGTTAAATGGAGATATCTAGATATGAAAAAAGGAGAAATACAGTAGTTGTAATTATCTATTTTTTCATTGTTGGTCTGATTATGAATGATTAGAAAAATACCGTGGTCACATGAGTCTTTCAATCTTCCTTTCCATTTTTAAATATAAAAATGACCCCTAAGCAGTTGGCTGATGAATTCTTGGAATTGAAACCCAGACACATTAGAGTTGCTATTGAGAAACATTGCTCTTTGTTGCTTGGTAGTAGAGTTCCCAATTAGGTAAATCAAAGACTCTGCTCATTCTAACTTCTTGTAACAACTTTAATTTTATCCTTGCCTTCTTTCCCTGCCAAATATATTTCAACACCATTTTATTCAAATCTTCAAAAAATTCTTTCCCCAATCTAATTGGAATTGTGTGGAATAAATACAAAATTCTAGGCAGAATATTCATCTTAATAGTTGATATCCTACCAATCAAAGAAAGCTGCAAATTTCCCCATTTCGCCAAATCTGTCCCTATCTGTTGTTTAAGCTTATTGTAATTATTTTCTTTAAGTGTACTACAGCTTGCTGTCAGATATATCCCCAAATATTTTACCTTGTTTGTGACCTGCATCTTTGATATCTCAATCAGTTTTTCTTTTTGTTTTATCAACATATTTTTAGTCAAAATCTTCATTTTATCTTTATTAATTTTCAAACCAGCTACATTCCCAAACTCTCCAATGCTCTCTATCAGTTTATTTATTGATGTTAATGGTTCTTCAATAATAAAGACCAGGTCATCAGCAAATGCTTGCAATTTGTATTCTTCTTTCCGCACTTTCATACCTTTTATGTCTTTTTCTTCTCTGATATTTCTATTTAAAACTTCTAATGTCAATATAAACAATAGTGGGGACAGTGGACATCCTTGTCTAGTACCTATTTCTATCTTGATAGAATCAGTCAATTCTCCATTTATCATTATTTTTGCTGTTTGCTTGTGATATATAGCTTCTATTGCCTGAATAAATTTTCTGCCAAAGCCCATCTGTTCCATTTGAAGCATCATGAATCGCCAGTTTTCGTTGTCAAAGGCTTTTTGAGCATCTAAAAATATTTTTCAGGATGCACTTCATAATATTCTAAAGTGTCCAGAATTATTCTAATATTGTCTTTAATCTATCTTTTTGGAAGAAATCCATTTTGATCTGTCTGTATAAAATTATTTAAATATCTCTTAAGTCTTTCTGCCAATATTGAAGCGAAAATTTTATAGTCTGAATTTAGCAGGGATATAGGCCTATAGTTTTTAATTTGTTGTGGGTCTGTATCTTCTTTGTGGATCAATGTGATGTATACCTCAGACCATGACTTGGGTATTTTCTTCTTCATCATCACTTCATTCATGACTTCCAATAACGGGAGACTTAAAGATTCTTGTAATGTCCTATAGTATTCTGCAGGTAAGCCATCAGGCCCTGGTGCCTTTCCATTCTTTTGTTTCTCGATTTCTTCCGTTAACTCCATCATCGTTATATTTCTCTTTAACATCTCCTCAGTATCTTTGGGGATCCGAGGTAAGTTTGCTCTTTGTAAATAACTTGCCACAATTCCCTATACATTTTATGTATAGTTTTAGAAGAGGTGTGTATATACTGTATGTGTATATATACACATACAGTATATATAGTAAATAATATATCTTTTTGTGTGCCTATACACTATACTATGTAATATGTATGTACACATATGGCATATGTACATAGGATTAAATAGTATATTTTGGATGTTCAGTAGTAGTAAATAAATAGACAGGGAAATTGTATCTCTCTCTCTCTTTTTTTTTTTTTTGAATTTTTATAATAATACAATTCAACATTGTCGGTTTGGCTACATTCAACCATGTTATATACTTATATAAGTAGTATCTAACAAATTACATAAATATTTTAAGATTAAGATATGAATTAATTATGGGTTATTACTATGTAAATTATAATGTAGATTATTACCTAAGATACATATATTACATAAATGGTTTAATACTACCCCCCCTTAGCTCAAATTAACATTTACGTTTATTTTCCAACCACCTATACCACATTTCCCATACCATGTAAAATTCTGAGTCCTCATTCTCATTTAACACAAAAAGGATAAGGAGAAATGTGGTATAGAAATGGGGACTTATGGATTCGACAAGATATGGATGGGAGTAGAGAATAAATTATTAGCCAAACTATATTCTTATCTGCTTGAATATGATAGGGAAGGAGAAATAGTTAAAGATCAGATGATTGCTTGGGGGAAAAATATCGGACATAACATAAATTTAGACGATTGGGAAGCAATTTGGAATAGTAACCTCAAATTGACAAGAGCAGTAACATATAAGGAGAACCAATATAAAATGCTGTATAGGTGTCACTTAGCGCCATCTAGGATAGCAAAAATATACCTGAACGCAAGCCCAAAGTGTTGAAGTGTGGCCACAGTCAAGGTACCTTCTATAATATGTGGTGGAGGGAAATTGTATCTCATTGAGGCCTTTGAGGTGAGGAGAGGCTAAGGACCCTAACCATAACCCTTGACATGAGTAACGTCAAGCTGGCCACACCTACCCAGTCACATGACCACCCAGCTACGCCCACCCAGTCACATGACCACCAAGCCATGCCCAGTCACGTGACCATTAAGCCACACCCACCAAATAAGCCAGGCCCACAGAACCGGTAGTAAAAATTTTTAGAACCCACCCCTGATATATATGTATGTGTGATATATGTATGATATATATCTTCCATTCTTTGTACTTAACCATATATACCTGAAATACAGTTTTCTCATATCTGTATGTTCAATAACTGTCTACTACTATAGAACACTATCAAATTACATTCCAAAAGCAATCAGACTTATTGTCTTTCTGTTTTTTTTCACACCCATAACAAACTGTTGTATTAAACTATTTCTCTTTTTACTTAAAAGCTGGTCAAATATTGTAATAAAAGGTATTTTATTTGATTTACAGAACATTATTGAGTATAGTCCTAGGTTGCATGAAGAACTGGACTTATTTTTCAAGTAAATATACATAGTCCTCACAAAGAGTCAAAGAGAACAAGGAGAATGGAGGTCACAGATGTGGAGAGGGTGAGTTCACCATTCTTAACCTTAACAAGATTTCAAGCTAGGTGAGTGGCCAGCAGTAACAACAACAGCTTAGTTGTTCAGAAGACATTCTCCAGTTTATTCAAGAGTGGTTAGTTGTATGAAATAATAAATGCTTTTGATGAGGATGCACATATCCAATTGTATTAAAAGACAAAAATTGTAATGTGTGGGAAATACACTACAAACTGCTTATAAACAGTTGGGAGTCAGATAGCCTATTTAAGAAGAGTATTCAGGTATATATGTTCTTGATGCCAAAAAAGCTCTAGCAGAAATCGAAAAGATTCTTATGGGACTGTTATCTCTTTTCTATTTATTTTATTACTATTTCAGAATAGGCAAATATGGTAGTCTAAGAAATTAATTATAGTATGCAAACTTCATGCAAATTAAACCTTAGAAGTTTGGCTGAAAAAAATATTACAAATCTACATGAATAGAGGACTTGAATTTTTGAAATAAATCATTTCTAATTGTCTTATTACAAGTTTATACAGCTTTTGAAGCAGAAGTAGTAAAAAGCATGTGTCAAACTGTATACAACAAATGACAGAAAGCTACTGTAGCTTTCTGTTCAATGTCCCCGTACACTGAATGTACTTTTCAGACGACATCCATAGCAGAAAGAAAAATGTAATTGAACTAAAATATTCCATATTTATGATTTAAAGAGTCAGTGACAATCTTCTTGAAACAGTTCCCTGGGTAATATTGATGATCCCATCTTCTTTTGCTGAAGGATGTATACTTTAATATGTAATTTCCATATTAACAGTAAAATGATCTATGCCTCTATTTACAATAAAAATATATACTATATAAATGCAAAAACATTGCTTTGAATATTTGAAAATAAATATATATATTATTTCCCAACTGTTACATTATTTTCAATGTAGGTTTAGACAGCAATGTCATTTTAACCTCACAAAAACCTAAAGAAGTAGTGGCCCAGAGATTGTTGTCCCATTCTAAGGAACTGTACCTGTTAGGAAATTGTTATTGCCCAACTAGTTGGTCAGGAAATATATAAACCAACATTGTGTCTTTCTGGCTAAAAGTATTATGTAGCGTTAAAAACTGTGTTGCATCATCATGCATCCTGATTGGCTGAGCTCTGTAGCCAATGTACTTAAGGAAAGCTGAATTATGGTTTGTGTGGACACCACACCATTTTACCTGCTGATATGCTGTAACTCTATATTTGATCTCTCTGCATGATCATTGCTTGATCATGGCTATTTATTGCTTTTATAATATTTATTGACTGTTTTTATATTGAACTGTGTTCCTGACTGAAACTAAAGAAGATCTGTTTTATTGTATTTTTCTACAACTGGTAATACGACTTTATATTGGAAAATATCTCTGGACTGATCTTTATCTCACTTTATATGTGTATGACTTGGAATGTTTTTGGACTATGATTTTGCTTTTTCTCTAAAAGTAAAATATTATCAAAACCCAATTTGTTTGTATGTGAACTGTTATTATCCACAATCATTCTCAGTCGCTTTTGTGCGTAAACTCAAAGGGTACTCTGCTGAATAACCCACAACATCGATTATGAGACAAGAATATCCTTAATAGTACCTATAAAAATAACAAGATATAATTGATAAATACCGCTTTCATGTGCTTTCCCTTTTCCCAATATACGCAATACTCAAAGCCAGCTTGCACAAGATTTAAAATTTTAAGGATGGCACAATTTAGCTCTTAAAGAGGGTCCCTGACAGAAATGGATAATTTAAAAATGAGATAGACAGATAGACAGACAGACAGACGGACGGATCGACAGACAGATAGATAGAAAACTTTGAGCATCCAAGCACAATAAAAAAGTAACTGTAACTAAATTAGACATATCCAATTTTTATAAAGGACCTTTTACTCAAACTGAAGAATACAAGAGCAAAAATAAATAGGGGGGGGGGGTGTTTTATGGCAATAAAAATATTCTGGAAAGAAATCCATATTGTTGATGTTCTTCTTATTGCTATTGCAATTGTTATTTTCATTATGTTACAAGAGGCATATTCATGAGAGGCAGTGGGAATATCATAACAGTATCACTAAAGTGCAGCTGAAATCCCAAGAGTGATATTTTGCTAAGGAATATAAAGAACATAGATGATTAAAACCAGTAGTAAGGCCCATCAGGCTCCCAAAACACTGAAAATTCCATAAGGCTGTTTTGGCAATGTGAACTTTGTGAAAATGTCATGGAAGGGAATTGCAGAAGGACTGATGTGATGTCATTAAAAAACAGCTGAAGATGCCTAAAGGGATTTGTTTAATTCTGGAGCACAGCAGGGAGGCATTTAAATTGGGTTTAGGCTGAGATAATGCTAACGTTAGAGATAATACTACTACTAGCATCTGATTTTGCAGAGGTACTGTAGAAGAGACTAGCTAATAATTAAATTTTGTTAAAAGAACATTTGCAGAAAGGTAACTGATATATATCAATTTCCCACAACTTGTCTTCAATTTACATACAGATATTGACAGCTGTAACCAATTTCTGTTATTTGAACATTCATTGAGATTGTGGATGTGCTTCCTAAATAAGTTAAATAACAAGTTTCAGCTTCAACATATCTGCGAGGTCCAGAAGTAGGAAGGATACTCTGTACATTGAAATATAAGTATGTCTAATTCCTCATTATGTATTATCTATGATAAAAACAAAATTAAAGGCATCTGTAATTATTTGCTAGGCATTAGACTCATCCTCACATACATCTCATTACCAAAAATTATTTGTGCCCAAAGGCTATTTTTCCAGAATATATCTTAATTGGGTTTATATAGTGTTCAAAGTGAGGCAGCAAAGTAATTCTTTGGGGACCCAAGATTCTTAGTATGATTTATTAAATGCCCCAGGTTCACATTGAGAAATAAAGCCACAATAATCCGTTAAGTTTTTTAAAGTTTCACTACAGCAATATATTTAACAGAAATTGCAGAGCCTGGTGTAATTGTTTATAATTAGTTTGCAAATCTTATATGAGGCTTGAAAAAGTGAATATTAACTGTTATGTATTGATACATTTCAGCGGGAGTTTCAAACCTGCCTTAGTTGCTGATTGGCTGACAGCCTCTCCAGGATTGTATATAAGGAGGGCTGCAGCCTCAGAGTTTTTGCTGAAGTCTCACTGTATATTAAAGAGCTGTTGTCACTTGCTTGCTTGTGCCTCTCATTATTCCTGAACCACTTCATTAACCCTCTTTATACAGATGTGGATAAGGCTCTTTGAATATATAATAACATGCTCACCTCATAAAGCAGAAAGATAAACTGTTGTATAAAGTTAAGGTGAACATAACTGACTGACTTGTTTATTTATTTTAGCATGGTATTGCTTTCATGGACATTGTGTTATATTATATTATAAACTAGCTGTAAAGTTTGTGTTGCTTATATGATGCTGGGAGCAGTAGGAGCAATAGTGATGGAGTACAGCAGGGTGTGTCATGTGCTGGCCACGCCCACGCCTGGTTTAGCAAAGAGGAAAAAAGTCCTGATACGTCACATGATGCCACCGTCACGATGTGAGTTTGACACCCTTGGAGTAGAGGGAAAGAAAATCTGTCTTTTTTTTTCTGTTGTACTTGACATTGCTCTGGCATTGCCATATGTCAGACACTGGAAGGAAGAAGAGAAAATGACATTTTAATAGATGGAAGATTAAGATTAACATGAGAAATGAGTGAGAAATAAAAATAAAACCATTGTTGCAGACTAAAAAGTAATTACAATAAATCAGGATGCCAAAGTGAATTAGTAACTGCTATAAATTACCATCCAAGTAAATTTGGTTTTGTGCGGAAGGCCCTGGATTAACAGCAGGGGAACCTGAGGGACAGAATCCAGCTGAGTGATTTCGGCCAGTCTCAGCCATAGAAAGAAGGTGTTGACAGACCACTTTTGCCAATGTAACCTAAGAGCTTGCATAAAATGGTAGATAATTGTTAAATATATTCTGCTCTTCCCACTCTAGATATCAAATGTTATTTGTGAACCTTCCTTTCATACCTATCCCTGCTTCAAACTGTGGTTCAGATCTTGTTCTAGTTTGAATTGTAACAAATTAAAATTGCGTTTTATCACTTCACCACTAAAAGCTCAAATTAATTATTTCATTTTGTCTGTTGATTATAATATTTTATATTAAAATTGACACTAAAAATAATGGCAGTTGCTATAAGGTTTCAATTTTTCTTATGGTGTCAGTTTTCACTGTCAACATCAAATATGGACCTTAGAGTTTCCAAGCACAGATATATGAAGTTTACTATAAAAATATGATGATCAAAAAAGACAAAAAGGAGACTTATTTTTTTTTATTTTTTTATTTTTTTTTTAAGGAGACTTAATAGTAGTATACTAGTAACTGTGAGAGGGATCTTGGATCTAGTGAACAATCATTTAAATATGAGCCAGCAGTGTGCTGCAGCTGCCAAAAAAGTCAACACAGTTCCACACTGCATAAACACAGGGACAGAATCAAGATCATGTGAAATGTTAATATCACTTTATAATGCCTTGGTAACGCCACACTTGGAACACTGCATCCAGTTTTGGTCGTCATAATGTAAAAAAGATGTTGAGAGTCTAGAAAGAGTGCAGAAAAGAACAACAAAGATGATTAGGGGACTGGAGGCTAAAACATATAAATAAAGGTTGCTGGAACTGGGTATGTCTAGTTTGATGAAAAGAATGACTAGGGGTGACATGATAGCAGTATTCCAATACCTTGCCACAAAAAAGAGGGAGTCAAGTTATTGTCCAAAGCACCTGAGGCAGGGGTGAGTTTCAAATCCCGTTGCTACTGGTTCACTCATGGGCGTGCACACGCAGAGCTTTTGTGCATGCGCAGAAGTGTCTGGGCGGGTGGGTGTAGGCTTCCGCCACTGCAGCTATCGGTTCACCTGATCTGGTGCGAACCGATAGCAACCCACTACTGACCTGAGGGCAGGACAAGAAGCAATGGATGGAAACTAATCAAGGAGAGAAGCAACCTAGAACTAAGAAAAAAAATTCCTGACAGTTACAATTAATTAGTGGAACAACTTGCCTCCAGAAGTTGTGAATGCTCCACCACTGGAAGTTTTTAAAAAGATATTGGATAACCATTTGTC